TGTCCGGAACTCACACCGAACGAGCACTTGGTTGGATTGAGCCTCATCCCATATCGCTTCAGTACATCAAATACGTCTTGCAGATGCTTCAGATGATCATCCTTCTTCCTACTCTTTACCACCATATCATCAATATAGGCTTCCACAATCTTACCCATTTGATTCTTAAAAATTTTGCTAACAAGTCTTTGATAAGTTGCTCCCGCATTCTTTAGTCCGAAAGGCATAACTTTGTAGCAGTATGTTCCTCGCTCGGTAACAAAAGAAGTTTTTACTTCATCTGCGGGGTCCATAGGGATCTGATTATAACCTGAATAAGCGTCCAGAAAGGTTAAACGCTCATACCCGGTGGTGGCATCCACCATTTGATCAATCTTAGGCAGCGGGAAGCTGTCCTTCGGACAGGCTTTGTTCAAATTGATGAAATCAATGCATACTCGTCATTTCCCATTCTTCTTCTGCACGACAACGACGTTGGACAACCAATCAGGGTAGTGCACTTCTCTGATAAATCCCGCATCAAGCAGCCTATCGACCTCTTCCGCTATGATTTGATTACGTTCTGGAGCAAATCTTCGCTGCTTCTGTTTCACCGGTTTGAAATTGGGATTGACATTCAGGGAATGACAGGATACGGAGGGACTAATTCCAGGCATGTCTAGGTGACTCCATGCAAATACGTCGGCATTGTGGGACAAGAAATCCACTAGCTCTTGCTGCTCTTCTCTGGTCAGTCTTATACCTACTCTGGTAGTTCGTTCTGGCCTGGACTGATCGATCTGCACATCTAGAAGGGGCTCCTCGGTCAAGTCGACTGACTCCTCCACCCTGTTCTGCTCGGGCGGAGGTTCCTGTAATTGCTATCTGGGGCTTGCCGAACGGACGGGCGCCTTCCCTTTCCCAGCATGCTTTAGTGTGACGGAATAACACTCTTTGGCTGCAACCTGATCCCCCCGAATGTCTATCACTTTATCTCCCTCGGGTCCGAGGCACCTCATGACCTGATGCAGAGTTGAGGGTACACCTTGGACTCTGTGAATCCATCCTCTTCCCATCAGGAGATTATACGAGGGGTGAATTTCTACAACCACAAAAGTTTCCATAAGAGCTCGTTCTGCAGCTTGAACTTCCACTTCCACCATCCCAACGGGCTCCACCCTCTTCCCATCGAACCCTAACAAGGGATTTCCGGTGGGCTTGAGCCTCTCTGGTTGAATCTCGAGCCTATCAAATGTGTCCCTCGGCATGACATTCGCACTGCTCCCAGGATCGATCAGAACTCTGCGCACCAAGCAGTCTGCCACTGTCAAACTGACTACCAACGGGTCTTCATGCGGCAGTTGAACACGCTGCAGGTCTGTCCAGTCGAATTTTATCTGCATCGACGGGCTCTGCTGGTGTAGAGTATTCACACTGCTGACCCTTTTCTTCATCTGCGCTTGCCGCAGGCGCGCCCGGAGTAGCTCATCCGACTCTTCACTAGGCTCGGGTCGACCATGGATAGCATTGATTATACAAACTGGTTGTGAATTGTGGGAGCTTTGTTTATGACTCCTTTTTATTTGTTCCACCGGTCGATTCTGCTCTATCGCCGAACCTTGAACATAACTCGCGAACTCCCCTCTAGCTATCAACATCTCTACTTGCCTCCTCAGGTTCCTGCATTCGTTAGTCTGATGACCGAAGTCAGAATGGAAAGCACAATATTTAGTTTGATCCCTCTGTTCGAGGGGTTGCCTAATTGGCAGTGGTGGATGAAACTTATCTTTGTTCTCCTGATACAACCTCGCCAGAGTGACCTTCAGCGGAGTAATCAGCTCTTCCTCCCTGGACCTTTTTTCTGCCTTCCAAGAGGTCTGACGTTGCGGCTGAGCCTGCTTCTGCCTAATCTTTGCCTTGGACTTTTCCTCGGTCGACACGAGCGACGCTGTCCGAGCATTAGCTGCCTCCTCTTCTTCTAGGCGCACAAAGCCATCGGCTCTTTCATTGAGTTCATCCATAGTAGTTGGCGTGTTCACTACCAGACTGGTGTGAAACGGAGTTCCACGTGTCATGGCTAACTTGAAGGCTTGAACTGCTGTAGAAGGGTGGCATTCGATCACCATACTCTTAGTGAGATTAAACCTGGTAAGAAAAGCCTGGAGACGTTCATCCTTGTGCTGCCTCATCGTGAATAGGCTCGAGATGTCTTTCGGCGGGCGCTTGTTCCCATAGTACTGGCTTATGAACCGATCGCACAGGCTTCTGAAGCTACCAATGGAGCTCCTAGGCAAATTTTTGAACCAGCTGAGCGCCGGTCCGGCTAGGCTTGTAGGGAAACATTTGTACATTAAAGAGTCGTTTTCCGTATTCAGGGCCATTTTCAACTGGATATGATACACATGATCGATCGGATCGGTCGTTCCGTCGAACAGAATAAAGACTGGCATAGCAAACTTCCTTGGATGCGGGGCATTCAAGATCTCATCGGTGAATGGTGAATCCACCGTCCGAGCTGCGGATCGGAGAGCTTCATTCTCTCTCTGGAGTCCAGCGGTAGCTCTGTGAGTTACGGTTCTGCCCTCCGAACCGCGATGAGTGATAGTAACCATGGAGGGCCGGTAAGACGGATCGAACGACCGTTCCTCTATGAACTCTCTTTGCCAAGGCGACGCTACTCGACGGCGATCAACCTCTATCACTTCCTCTCGGTCGAACCTTTCCCGATGCGGATCAACGTGAGTCGATCCTTCGTGATCTTCAACTCGACGAACATTTGGAGGCAAATTGTCCATCATCCTTTCATCACGGTGGTGAGCTGACTGATTGTTCTCGTCCTGTTCGCCTTGACGCGCGATATTAGATTGAACACCTCCTTCTCCGATCGGAAGTGGATGCGAAACCGCAGGTATTTGCCGATGTTGCATTCCAGCTTTCAATTCTGCATTCTCTTTTTTGAGAGCTTCAATCAAGTTCATCAACTCCTCAAGCTTTGTTTGCTGGACAGCCTCCATCGGATTGGAGCTTTCACCTATCATTATTCCTGAACGGAGTAAAGGCATTAATCTCAAGTTCGCGAGTAGATCCGAGCTTCGTGAGTAGGAATTTTTAGATCTGGCTTCTAATTCTCCGAATTATGCTCACTGTTTACGAGATCTGAATTGTCTGAACTCTAAATCCGTCAGATCCTGCCACAATCGAACAACTCGTTGTTGCGTAGATCTGAAGCCACTTCTGCCAAAGCTTCAAGAATTGTAATTCCTCCAGAGTAGGTCACAATCGCTCAGATCTGGATCCAAATCCCAAAGATCGAGTCTCGATCAACCGAATTGGTTTGAATCCACTCGATATTCCTCATTGATCAACCAAACTTCCATGCGTTTCCCACAGACGGCGCCAATTGAAGATGCAAGAAATTCGTTCCCTCTTTCTCTCTCTAGAATTCTTACACTTCAACCCCCAAAAAGATCCTCTCTCCTTTCCATTCCTTATCCTATTTATAGATATTTACAAGATATTTACAAGATATTGACTGATTGCTGGATCTGGGCCTATTCCTCCATAAGTCCTGGTCACCTTTGATGGGCTTACTCGCGTTCGGCCCATATGGCAGTGTCTTTATATGGGCCGACCCAGCTGTACGGACCGAATGTAGTGCTTGCAAGTCGGATCCGGCCCATGTCGTCCGGGGCCTCCTCAGTTCATTTTAGTCGCATAATCTTGAATGAAATTACTAATTTGGAGTTGAATTAAACATAAAAATAATAATTTTTGTACAATAATTTTTTATTTTTTTACTAGTTAGACTCACACACACACGTCTCTTCAGAGACTTGAACCCTTGAACTCCCTTTGTGACCTTTGGGAGGTAAGAGCCCGATACCGCTAGGTCACTGGCTATTGGTAATAATATTTTTTATATAAATAATATTTTTTATTCATTTTATTCATATCTTCTTAAATAAAATCACTAAACTTGAGTTTAAATTTTTTTTCTTTCTAAAATTTATATTATAATTTAATTTTTATCCATTTTATTCATATAATATTGAATGAAATTAGTAATTTTGAGTTTAAAGTTGTTTTTGTTTTTCTAAAATTTTATACTATATTTTTAATTAATTCGCAATATATTTTACTTCATTGAACTAGACCCATTCTTTAAAAAAAAAAAAAAATTACAAAATTATTTTATCGTAAACTAAAAAGTGCCTTAAACATGTTTACGTCCTTTTAAGGTTGTGTGCCAATATTGATTGCAATTAAAAAATAAAAAATAAAATAAAATAGCATTCGAAAGTGATAACCCAACACGACTTACATAAAGCAGTCAAATGGTAATGGTAAGAGTGACAAATTTCGACAGGATGCACCAATACGACACGAGATAAGCAAATTTGAGTTCACCTTAAAAGGATTCGGATTATAAACTGTTGACACAATTAACATGTGTTACTTAATCCTATCTGATTAGGATTGAAGGGGTCAATCCATCCCGCTTATATCCTATTTGATTCAACGTGTTATAATCATGAATATGACTTATATAATCTGTTATCCGTTTAGATCCGATTACTACAAATAATTAACTCATTTTGATATGATTCTTAACTGCTTTATGATTTTTACTTAAACATTTATATTTTATTACTTAGTTTAGCTATCAAGTGTTACTATGAACATTTAGATTAATTGAGATTAATACCTTTTCAAATATTTAATATTTAATTTAATATAAAATGTCTCATTTTAATAAGGAGATGGTTAACACAAATTGCCAACCTAATGAATGCTCATTCCTAACTCTAAATATCCAGTCTAGGATCATATCTACATATCGAAGTATTCGCTTCCGCCTAGACATGCCTAAAATAGTCATATTACTATATATATATTATACAATTTCTTTTTTTGACATTATATATATACACTTCAATAGTGAACAAAAAGAGCCTTATATATTAAGTTATGTACGCATGGACTGACGAAGAACAGCGAAACTATATCACCGACCACTCACTTATGACGGCGTGATTCCGCGAACAGTCTTCCAAAAGCACTTTTGTTGACACTATTCCAATTCTAACGATAACTCCCAACTAGTCCAAAAAACTCAGTCACTTTCTCTTTATTTCTCTCTCTAGATTTTCTCTCTCTAAAAAAGTAATAGTAGTAGTTTGCAACTGTACTTTCCCTCTCTTCGGTTACCTTTAAATAGCGGTGTTCTTTTTGATGGCGGACACGGAGCATCAGATTCTCTCTCTAAGTTATTTCTCTCTCTATAAGTTGTGATGGCGGACACTGATTCTTCTGTGAATTATCCGATTCCCTCTTTAGGTTCTTTCTCTCACTACGCTGTTTCGCCAATGGAGATTGACGACGGTAGTCCGGCGGGTCAGGGTAGGCTTCGGAGGCTGAGATGTTCGGTTCATAACTATGATTGGGGTCGAATCGGGCGCGATTCGGGGGTTGCGAGGCTGTTCTCGCTGAATGCAGGGGCTGAGATTGAGGAAGAGAAGCCTTACGCGGAGTTATGGATGGGGACTCACGGGTCTGGACCTTCGTTCGTGGTTCAGAGCGGTGAGAATGGTGTGTCGGTTGGTGAGGAGGGTGGGGATTTGAGCTTGAAGTCGTGGATTGCTCAAAACCCTAGCGTGCTTGGTGATAAGGTTGTTGACAAGTGGGGCTCGAATCTTCCTTTTCTGTTCAAGGTATGTTGTTGAGAGTTTTGCTCGAAATTCATTCCTTTTTTTAGCTCTCTATAGATTTTTGGTCTTAATTACATTGGGAATTTCTCTTCTGGTGATGGGTTTTTGTGATTCTCTTACTTCTTGATGGCATTATTATTCTTCCTTTTCTTGTTCAATGTATGTTGTGAGTTTTGCTCGAAATTAGATCTTTTTTTAGCTCTAAATTACATTGAGAATTTTATTTTCGTTCTCTTCTGGTGATGGGTTTTTGTGATTCTCTTACTTCTTGATGGCACTAATCTTCCTTTTCCGGTTAAGGTATGTTGTTGTGAGTTTTGCTCGAAATTCAACCCCTCTCTGTCTCTTTTCCTCACTCCCTATTGATTTTTGGTATTAATTACATTGAGAATCTTATTTTTCATTCTCTTCCGGTAATGGGTTTTTGTGATTCTCTTACTTCTTGATTTGTTTCCGTGGAACATTACATCTATTCCGAACAAAGAGAAAAAATTTGGTCTAAAGTGTTCTTTTTCCCTCTTTCCAGAAGTAACATGATAGATTTGCTTACGAAATTGAAATATCTATTGTTTTGTTGGTTTGTAAAATTCTGTAATTTTTTTGATTGTTTGTTTGGTATAGGTACTTTCAGTTGCAAAAGCATTGTCAATACAGGCTCATCCGGATAAGAAATTGGCGGAGGTTCTGCATAAGGCGCAGCCAAATAATTTTAAGGATGATAATCACAAACCTGAGATGGCTTTGGCACTAACGGAGTTTGAGGCACTATGTGGATTTATTGATATTGAGGTAACATTCTATCTTAATCCCGTGGTTGCTTAGTTTGGTGATGTAACTTGTGATTTAAAGTTGATTTTTATTTATTTATTGCTTGTGAGGAGGATGCCGAGTCAATTAAAGTTTTAGTCGTGTAAGTGTAAATGATCGAATAAATGCAAGATAAGTTAATTTGGTATTTAGAAATCTAATTATTCACTTGAAGTGTTGTGTGACAGTTGGAGGAGTTTGTGTAGTTGGTTGTGATTCTTTGAGAACTTAAATTGCCACATGTAATCTTTAGGTGGTTGTTATAAAGATTGCTTTTTTTCTCTTGGCATATTTTTGGAATGGATGGGAGTAGACCTTATTTTTTCCTATTGTTGTCTAATTATCACTAAGTGCATATTTTTGTTAACGGCTGATCTCCATGTTTTAACTTCTATCGAATGTTACTCAGACTCCATCAAAATGTTACAGGGCCAAATCATCATTGTGGTCATTTAATCTAGAATTACGTTTTATGCATGGTTGCTTGTTAGATAAGGGTACTTAACACCAATGCCGAGATATCTTTGCAATGCCCAATATAGGTAATCCACATGGATTGCAGTTTCCATATGGCTTCTATCATTGCTTAAGTTGGTTCTGCTTGTTTGATTTTTGAGTTGTAATCATTTTGAGATCTATTTAAATCCTGACATCATTAGTAGTTTTATTTTATGGTAAGAAGTTAATATCCTAACATCTGTGCCTTTTCTCTATAAATAGTTTAGGAAAAATTTAGTCTGCATATGTTTCTCTTATGTCCCTTTGAGGTGGTAAATTAATACAGAAAACACTTTTATCTTTTTTCTTGTATCAAACCTGGCTAATCCCGGATCCTTCCTGAACCTGGTTATTGATTTCCATGGGGCTTTGCTTATATAATATGTGTACTGTGTAAAGCATCTTGATGCCGGGAAAATATTTGGAATTATCAGTTTTCTTGTGGCTGGGGGAAATTATTTTGCACGTTTTTATAGAGAATTATGTTTGTGCAAGATTTTGAGCTGTTCTGTGAAGTTCAGTCTTATATGGAGAAGTGTGTCCTCCCATGGTCCTCAGTGCATGTGATGCAGTATATATTGTTAGGCCACGTAATATGCAGTAATGATCTACTACCATTCAATCTCTACTAATTGCATATTGCATTTGTTTTTTCTACGGGTAAAAGGCTTGCTGAAGAATCTTGACAACTGAACAAAGGCACCTATTCTAGATGTTTTTTCTAGTTATCGCTGCTAGGAACTTTTTGAACTTTGAGATCACTGGAGGCTAATTTTCTCGACACCTTCCAGGGTAGATGAACCCGAATTCCATGTCCTGATTGGGGAGCTCAAAAAGGATGTTTCTCATTATTTGAATCACAACAGTGCACGGGCGGACTGAAATATGGTTCTTGCAAATGCTTCTTTCCCTTTTAACTGCTTCAATCACAAAAATATCTTCATTAGGATCTGGTCTGTGGCAAGTTCAGAAAGTTGTGTCTATTTCCCAGTCAATTAAGTATCTGGGATATGGGAATTCTTCAATCCCTAGTACCATCGTTTATATTTGAGTTGTCAACCTCTGATGATAGGCAGTGCTCTGCTAATGGGTTTTGCTTCTGCTGTTTGACACTTTGACTTAGAAACATATGCGCACTCAAAAAATTTAACCCAGAAGGTTATTTCTTCTTAATTAGTTTTACGCTTAGGTAGGAGTCTAGGTTCTCAAATATTATTTGGTTTTAGCCCCACATTGTTCTTACCTGATGTCGTAGGGTAAGTTCTCTCATCTGAATTATCTGATGAGGCTAATTTCTCACCAGAAATTATTTAGAAAGAAGTTCGAAACCATATTTTCTGGGATATTAAATGCTTTTGGTTAACATGTTCTAGCATTACTACTGGTTCCAGGCAAAGTAAAAGCCTCCATTAGCTAAACCCTTTCTCACCCTGTCTTCAGGCCCATAAAATTTTAATACACAGTTGACAGAGGCCTCCCTTTGTATGTTGCATTGTTACCAATAGGATGCAATCATGCAACCTTGTGTATTCTCTTATATTAGTCACTTTCTTTAAGAACAAAAGAAAAATATTGTCTTCTGTAAAATTCCTCACAAGTTGAGTTTGGAAGCAGTACATTTTACCGAGAGCTACTAATACATCTAATTTTAGATGGAGCTGTGGAAGTTTAAAGTTGTACTGGAAATTGGAGGGTTAAGGGCATGTAAATTTATAAGGTTCTGAATGATTTAGATTGGTGAGGTGACCCAAGAAGCCTTGGGGAGATGGGGTTGGGAAGGTCCTCTGCAGAGAGCTGTGCAAGTTCAAGTTAAGGGTTTGAAGTATTTAGTGGCTTCAGTTACTAAAAGCTTAAGCCTATGATAGATAAGGCGGAGACATTTTTCCCTGCATAATGTAGGGAAGGGGCCATTTAGTCCTACTACCTCTTTATTGCAAGAGCGCTTTCGGCTTTTCTATTACATAATAGCAATCAGGTTGATACTGGAATAGCCGCCTATTTTTCTGTGAAATACATTTTGTCTTTTTTCAGATGATGGGCTAAAACTATTTTTTTAAACAAAAAAAAAAAAAATGCTTGTGCTCATTTGCTATTTCTTAAGATCAAGTTGATTTACTTGGAGAAACTTTTCATTGTTTTCAGGAGCTCAAGTGTGTTATTCAGAATGTTCCTGAGATTGTGGAAGTGGTTGGCAATGAATGTGCAAACCAAGTTTTACATGTTAATAAGCAAGATGGGGAGGAGAAATTAAAAGCAGTTTTGCAGTCTATATTCACCCAACTCATGTCAGCTAGTAAGGATGTTATTTCCAAAGTGGTACCTAAACTCATCGGTCGTCTGAACATGGAAAATAAGGTATATTGGAATTCTGTCCCTTATAATATCTTTAGGTTCATGTTTCTTCATCTTATTCAAGTGTTTAATAATTTTCTTTGATTGTTTTCATAATATTTTTGTAAGGGTTTTATGAATATAAAAATCATTAAAGAATTTGATTTTCTGAATTAACATATTTTCTTCCTTCTCCTATCATCATCACGTCTGCCCCTCCCATTCCCTTCCTTCCTTCTTGGGAAGCTCCTAAGTTATCATTCGCTGTTTCTTTATAAGACTCCCCTTTCCACTTTGCATCAGGTCAGACAGTTGACGGATAAGGAGCAGCTAGTCTTGCAGCTAGAAAGGCAATATCCAGCTGACATCGGTGTCATAGTAGCCTTCCTTTTTAACTATGTAAAGCTCAAGCCTGGTGAAGCTTTGTGGCTAGGGGCAAACGAACTTCATGCATATATACGCGGTGAGTGTATAGAGTGCATGGCAACATCAGACAATGTTGTGCGCGCTGGCCTTACTCCAAAGAACCGAGATGTTCAAATTCTTTGTTCCATGCTCACATATAAACAGGTGAATATAGCATCTGAACGTCTGGCAGATTTTCTTGTTTGTTCGATGGTTCCTTTTTTTTTTTTTTTTTTTTTTCCCCTTCCCCTTCCAGTCTTAATTTTATCTATTTTATATCCATGAGGCCTTTAATTCGCAAAACCTTTAATGTTCAACTATAATTCTGTTCTGAAAGATGACAGAAACTTAGTTACCTGCCTTTCTGGTTTATGTTGCTGGTTAATGTAGTATGAAGATGCTCTGTATATGTAGGAAGAGTTTGAACATTGATATATTTAAACTTCTTTTTTTCGGGGTTGGGGTTACATTTAGACATATTGACTTCACATTGTGCATCTTGTTTGACACTAGACTTTAAATCTGGTATTATGGTAGCATCCTTCATTTCTATCTTTTGAATAAAAATGTAACCATCATATTGAAATTTTTACACTTTCATGAGTATATTTAGTTTGAAGTAATGACTCTTGCTTCAACACTTGTTTTATGTCTACCTGTTATATTTTATTAATTTAAGGGTGTAAAGTCTTGCAACATTGTGGTCAAACTGCTTTGGAGCAACTATGGCCGAACCCCTAATTTTCAAGAATGTTCAGAATTTCAAACTCGGATGTTATAGGCTTATTGTATCTTTTGTGCTCATTTTTTCTGCTTTCTTGCCTTGTGTATGCACACATATATAGAGGCATTACTTGGTGAATGCATTTCTGTACTATTATGGAAATGTAAACAAAACTTGTGCGGACACATGAACTGTGCATTGAAATTATTGGTCTTTTAAATTCTGTGCAACTTCAAGTGGTTAATGTTGCTTTCTTTACCCTCTCAAATTTCAAGAGTAAACATAAGGAGATACGTTTTTGCTTTTATTTTCAGCATCCATTGGCTTGGATCAATATGCTCTTTTCTTTGCATCTAACTAGATGTCTATTGCAGGGCCCTCCTGAAATTTTGCAAGGAATCCCTTTGAATCCATATACCAGAAGATACCTCCCTCCTTTTGAAGAATTTGAGGTTGATCGCTGTGTTCTCTCCAAAGGGACATCAACTGTATTCCCAGCAATCCCCGGTCCCTCCATTTTTATTGTTGTGGAGGGAGAAGGGACAATGTGCACATCATCTGAAGATATAGTAACCGAGGGTGATGTACTATTCGCAGCTGCAAACACTGAGATAAGTGTAACGACATCGTCTGAGTTGCATCTTTATAGAGCCGGAGTAAACAGCAGGTTTTTTTGAGCCTCTTGAGTTGGAAGCAGCAGCATCTTTCAGCCGCATGGCAAGTGAATTTAGTTATTTTACTCATCTTTTTTGATTTATACGGCTGCTGTTTATAGTTATGTGTATTCATGTATCTTTATGTAATATTAACATACATAAAGTTAGAGAAATAAGATTTACTATATTGGAAAGAAAATGTGGACAAGTTTGTCATGTTCTCGTAAACCCAGTTTTTTTTCGTATTTTTTTGCCCTGGTTAAAACTCACACCGCCACTTTGCATTATTGGACTTGAACCCTCGACTTTCTACTTTAGAAGGTGAGTAAGTTTATCACTAGGCTGCAGCTTTTGGTGGTAAATCTAGTTCTAATTTGTATGACTATATATATATATATATATATATATATATTTTGCAAACTGATCTTCAAAATGGAACAATCAGGCTGTAGTTAGCGCACCGAAATCCAATATGGTTATTTAGCAGCTCACTTTATGCTAGTTATTTGCATTGAACATCATTTTTTAGGTTTTTTGGGATGAGAGTTGGAACCTGTATGGGGAACAATACACTGTCCGTGTGTTTGTTTCTGAAGATCATGCATAGTTTCCCCGCCCTATACTCAAGTATGTATTCAACTCCCGCCCTATACTCTAGTATGTATTCAACTCTTTGGTTGTTTCCCTTTCTCCTCTTATATGGCATGTTCTGGAATAAACAGTAATCATTTGAGTCCTCTTTTGCTGAGTTTGGGAAGTCAGATGCACGCAGCTTTTCCTCCGCATGCAGAGAGGTTGTGTCCTTGTTTCGAACCAGCAACTTCTCGCAATTCCAATGAAGAAATATTGTTTCATTTCTTAGGTTGAAAACTTCAATTCTAGGCACGAACCTTCTTCTTATCATACCTCCATAGCTCACATAATTTGACCAGTTATCTCCTATTTTATGTGCATCAGTTATCTCCTATTTTATGTGCATGATTGTTCATATTTTCCGGATTAGAAAGTTTCTCTACTAATTACTTCCTATGAAGAATTCGTACTATTCAACACCCGTATCAAAGGCAGGCGAAAAGAAAGTTGAAAAGCTCTCAATCCTTCAACTTCTCAGATTTCTGATGCCAAAATCTTATGAATGTAACAACAAAATTATTGTAAAATATTCTGAATCGAACTACAACACTTTTGAGATACAGTTTTTCCATGCCCATGTATAAAACCATTTTGCTGAACATTTCTTATAAATGGTCACACAATTTGTTGACCGTTCGGGCTATCATTGACAAATAGTTCAACAGCTGAAACAAGGAAAATAAAACTCCAAAAGATCACAACCCCAAGAATTTGACACAAGCTTCCTACCGATGATGCCATTGGAATTGAAAAGGTCATAGGATTGAATTGGTGAGTCATTGAAAAGGTTATATGAATGAATTGGACGGTCACTGAATTGGTTGTATGCATGAATTGATCAATTTTTCCCAGATAGTTCAAAGGCACATGCATATCAACCAAGATTAATGAGAGAAACTGACCATCTTGGAAACAAATAAAAAAACACAAATATGGAAAGTAATTTCACAACTCAAGTCAAAAGGTTATATGAATGAATTGGACCATCATTTAATATACCATATTGCATGAATTGGTCAATCATAAAACCTAGTGGTTTTCCCAAGAAGATTAAAGGTACATATCAACCATGATTAATGAGATCAACTGACCCATCTTTGGGGTGAAAAAAATACCTATAATATATATACAAAGTAATTTTGAACTCAAATACAGGATAAAGTGCAAAAAACCCCTTCAACTAGTCATGTGCAATTAACCCCTTGAACTATAATTTGTCACCTTGAACTATTGAATTTGGTGCAATTAACCCTCAATGTAACATCTCCGGCCAATTGGTGTAAACGAAACTAGTGAAAGATAATTTTACCCCTTATAAAAACTACGTCGTTTCAGTTAAAATTTCAGTAACAAAAACAAACATTATCACCATGGTCTGTCATGGAAGGTGTAATCTCAGCTACCACTAAAAAATTGACAACAAACACCAACCTTATCACCATTAGTATGACCTGGAGGGCCTAATCTATACCAAAAAAAAAAAAAAAAAAAAAAAAAAAACCACTTCCAGAATATACAAAACCAAAATACCACTCCCGGATAAATTCAATTAAATCCAGACAAAGACCAGCACAATTGGAATTTTAAAAAAAATAATAATAAAAAAATAAAATAAAATAAAATTTTTGGGTAAAATCTGTACAACATCTTCCTTGGGCAAAACTGTACCCCAACCAATGACGACCACCGAACGAGGACTCCGCTACTGCTGTCAAGCACCGGGAAGGAGCGGAGGCTGATTCGGGCAATGCCGTCGTGGGTCTTTTTCTGGAGGGGGAAGCCGCAGCAGTGCTTCGCTATCGCCGCCGACGACCTCCGGTCTGCTCTCTGTACTGGTTTTACTCGGATCGATGACCTCCTGCTTCGCCGACGAGCTGTTCTTGAATGATCTGGCCGAGGCGACAGAGGGTGTGCGTCAATTTGTATGGCAACAAGGATCCCAACAAATTTGTAGAGTGTCAAGATCCCAGCAAATTAAACTCGACCAAACAAAAGACAGGCACAAAGTGAGGGTGTTGCAGAGCCACCATGAGAGAGGGTGTTAGTTAGAGAGAGAAAGCTTGTGTTTGAGAGAGAGAGAGAGGGTGTTGGCTGCCATGGTGGTTGTTTGTTTTAATTAAAATGTTTTTTTCTTTTTCTTTCCAATACAAATTGTTGTATTCAAATGATGATTCAACTCATTTAGAAATATATGATTACAAAGTGTGTGTATGTATTTATATATATATATGGGAATTCGATTGACGATGTTTGGTTGGAATTTCACGTAACCCACCATGTGGTCTTTAAGTTCAAACGGGGTTAATGGCACCAAATTGGTTAATTCAGGGAGTTATATGTCAAATTAATAGACGAGGAGACTTTCTGCTACTTGGCCAATAGTTGAACAGGGTTTTTTTTTTGCACTTTACCCTAATATATATATATATATATATATATATATATATATATATATAAAAAGTAATTTCACAAATCAAGGCATCCCTGACCACAACTCTATAAGTAATACTGGCCCTCGTGAATCAGTAAGGGCATAGTTGATACCATATCTATAGACAATGTTGCATTTGAATCTATTGGATGAAAATCCTAGAACAATTAGCTCAACAAACTTAAGGTCTTGGATATAACAAACTTACTCCTCAAAGAAGGATAGTTCTACAACCAAACATTTGCCAAAATTTAAACAGCACGCAAAAAACATATGGAACTTTCATCAATGTTTCAAGATCCAAGATTCAAGATTTAAAATAGCTCATGTAAATGCAATTCATATTGGGTAATTCTTCAACAAAACAGCCATAGAAGGCTAGAATACGAAATCTCATTAGCAGCAGCACTTATGCATCTGTTAGCGGGTAATCGAATACAACATCCTTGCCAGAAAGCTTTCGGTAAACGCCACTAAATGTCTCCAGCTTGTACTCGGTGTCATTTCGTGCCTTGGCATCCAAGAAAATCTGTCAACAACGTATAAACATTATATAGAAAGGACATGGAGGAAGGTTCATATTATAAAAAAGTGTACACTATTGAGAGCAAATTTTCTTTTATTTATTTATTATATTATTTTTTTGGCCTACTGATCTAAGTGTTGCAGATACCTTGATGATTTTGGACCCATCAATCCTGTATCTGATACGTTTTCCAACAATCTCAGCAGGAAAAACAACATCCTCAAGCATGGCATCATGCACAGCCGTCAGTGTACGGGAACGAGGTCTTTGGGCAGCAGAACCTTTCTTTGGTGGGCGCACAATCCTTCTTGTGGCAATAATAACCACATCCTGCCAATCACGGTAGGGTGATTGATAAAACAACACAAAGAAAAGCCTTAGAGACAAACTTCATACCAAAAGGCAAGTGACCTTGATGCAGGATATATCAAACTGAATTTCAATTGGACTAGAAAAAACCAAAAAATAATTATGGGAATAGAAAGTACTTTCAAAGAATCATCAAAAGTAGAAACATACAATAGGATAAAGCTCATTTCAACTCATTCTCTAAAATTCTCATGATGTCAGCAGCTAATACGGATGAAGACATTGAATAATCGTTAACAATTGGTTAATAAACGTGTAGAGGTTTTATTCTGTTTCTTTTTTGGAAGTTGTCACTAAAAATATTTGATTCCAAAGAAACCTTCAAGAACATTCTTAAAGTAAATTATTTGTTGAGAATGTCTAGAAATACCATGCAGGAATGTCTAGAAATACCATGCAGATCAAATAATAAAATATCATTTCCTTAGGCTGCACTCTGCACATCATAGACTAAGCAGACCCATATGGTTAAGGGAGCATCTTTCCTGGCACTTGTGTAACCAGGACACCTATGTTACCTAAACTCTCCAATACCCTCGACATACCTGTGTATATACAACATGGACATGGATATGAAATATGTGCCAACAACACATCCAAATGGGACACCAAAATCCTCGATTACGAGGACGGAAGAAGACGATTCACAGAGAGATGATATAGGTGGAATCTCTCCTTTTAGTCATATTCCATTTAATTTTAAAAAAATATACATTATTATTATCTTAGACAATAAAAAGTAAGACACATTACATTTTTAAGTAGCGTACCTGCCATGTTTTTAAGTATGCAAAACCACATATCCTTATCCAAGTTTTGGACACAATTCAAGCCAGAGTCCCCATATCCTAAATTTTGCAATTAGGATAGACACATCCGCACCTTTACAGGTACAAATATCCAGGTAACACATACCATATTCTAAATTTTGCAATTAGGATAGACACATATCTGCACCTTTACAAATACAAGTTCCAGTAACATCTACCAATACCAAAATTTACACTATAAGAAAAACCATTCTTATATTTTTACTTACACTAAGAACTTATTAACACACGAACACATGCATTTTAGAATCACTTTGTGACGGACAGGAAACAAGGGCTCATAATACTTCAACTGTTAAACTAATATCAAGAACATGCCAATACTGGAATCTAGACATGGCAATATTACCTTTCCACTGAACTTCTTCTCAAGTTCTCTGACAAGTCTAAGGTGGATCTTGCGAAATGCTTTCCTCAATCTATAGGGAACATGGATAACAACAGCCTTGCGATTCCCCGCCACATCAATTTGACTGCACAGGAAAAAAGTTGAGATATCTTCATGCCGACCAAAAAAGAGGGTCAAATTTAAAATGCATGCAGATGATTCCTTACACTGCCGAGTTAATGTAAAGGTCCTTTAATTCACTTTTAAGCTCCTGGTTTGTATTTTCCAAATCAAACAATGCCTGTAAAGATGTATAAAATAAAATTTTTGAAGTAATAATAAGCCAATCCAGAATCAAGAGAAGGTAACCAAAAATATTACAACATTTATAACAGCAAAAATAACCTGTGCAACAGCCTCTTCAAATTCAGTGGGTTCTACATCATTGTCTTTGTGAATCTTCTTCCTTGAAGTATACATCTTGACAGAGCTGGTTTGTAAGAATTGTTAATCAATTAGAACATTTCCCCAAAAAAATGAAAGCAAAAATAAATAGATAAATAAAATCAAAAGCCAAAAACAAAACTAGAAAAAGGGGTAACAAAGTAAAAACATCAAAGAATCAACCAGAGGACTCTATATGTTAATTATGGGATTCCTTCTACAAAATAATTTTACTAATTAATGAGAATAGAAGTGGCACTTCCCTTTCACATGTCAGAAGACTATACATAATTTTAGAGGGACCAACACAATTATTATTCATTACGTGATATAATTTCTACTGGCCAACTGAAAAGGAAAAAGGAATGGCTTCTTGTTCTAGTAACACAACAGGAATCATATTCATACTTTTCAGATGTATGTTGGTATAAATAACAGTTCCTTCATTAGTACCACAATAAATAAGTAAAGAAGAATAAAATGCTAATGCAATGGGCCATGTGGCATGCATGAGAGCACAAAGGAGATCCTAAAGTCGTATACAAATGTCTCTTTTACCATGTAACTTACACACACACACAAACACAGAAAAAACGAACCTTACTTTGCCATATATATGTTTACACCTAATATATGTCCCAACACATGTAATTTTGTAATATCAAACACATGGGCCCAGAGATCATACTACTTGGAACAAGATAAAATCATAGAACAGTAGGCAATGGATGAATGAATAATCTAAAAGCTTGTACTTATTGCTCTATCTTTTCTACATTTCAGATCAAAATTCCCAAAAAGATGGACAATCAAACCTATTTCTCAATTCAAAAGGCAAAAGCAACCTCAAGGATAGGGTCATTCCAATAGCCAACAATCACCATCCGTCATAAAACTACAATCCACATAGCAATAGTTTGACTTAAAGTAAACCTATGGAAGCTAAAAGTAATAACTAAGTGCAGCTCTGAAGCTAAGCTTCTGGACTAAAATAGGTAAATAAGAAGGCTTTGTTGATGGTGTTCGATTACAGAGGCGCTCTCTTCAACTTGTATTGAACTTGGTTTGGAAGAGCCACAAAGGTGGTTGGCTTTTATCCTCTCTCTATGCCTGGCGTGTGGATCACTTTTTTCCAAGAAAAAATATTCTTAACCTTAATTAATCAATCAATCACTCATGAAGTTCAATTTGTCTCAAGGAGGATGGTCTTCAATCTCTCATTGCTTGACAAGTTGCATCCAAAATTCAAGAGCTATAGCCATCAACAACTAAATATGGCCGTCATTTCACAACCTTATTTATGGAATATGCAATTGATTAATAAATGTTACATAGAATGCTATTGTTGGCCATTATTTGGGGGGCTCATATGAAAAATATAAAATTATGTGTGTGTGTGTGTGTGTGTGTGTAAATGGAACATATTGGGTGTAAACCCAAAACACTCTTATTTGACAATAAAACATACTAATACTATCTACAAGATGCAAGAGCGAAACATCATCTAAATCAAAGCCGCTGGGAAATTTATTGTAATACTCATACTAATATAAAAATATTAATTTTAAAATATGTAAGGCTAAATTAGAAAAAATTTAAAGTACAAGGGTTTATGAGGAAATGGAGATAAGATGCACTTGTATGAAAACATACTCTACTAGTATAAAGATATAAATAGACTATCATAATTAATTAGGGTTGAGAAAAATGACTCATCGTTCACGCAAGTTGATTTTGCCTTATCTTTTTTGTATAACATTTATATTCATTAAATTAATCTAACAAACCTAAGATAAAAGCAAGATCAACTTGCCTTGATATCTCTGAACAAGTTTTCCAAAAACCTACTCTATCTCAAACACAAATCCGAGACAATTTTTTTTAACCTTAAGCTATTTATACATTTAAATTATTTGGGTCAGTTGGACTACGACATATATTATTCCCTATTCAAGTCTTATATAAAAATTTAGGTGAAAATGTCACTTTTCAAAGGAGCAAACATCTTTTCTTTAAGTGGGAGTAAGGCTGTGTACATTTGACCCTCCCCATCTGCCACAATGGTGGCAGTAGAATTGCACTTATGGAGTTGGCACTAACAAAGACGATAAAACCACAAGAAATCTCAATCACCCAAAATCAGAACAAGATAAAGAAACACAATTCTACAATAAAAAAGCAACTCCCTAATGTTATATTCACCACCATCCATTTTCTTAACATTCTATTCATACCCAGTGCAATCCAATACAATATAATAACATAATAAAAAGCAAAACTACTAGAAATTTACTATGCAATAAAATTAGCTAACAACTATACTGACTCTTACAGATCAGGAGTTCATAAAACATAAACATGGAATCTAATTACAAATACTGTAAAAATATAAACCCATCACCATAACCAGGAGCTGAAAATCATGTCTTTTTTTTTTTTTTTTTTTTTTTTTTTTTTTTTTTTTTTTGGTTGCTTAGATTGCGCATATAAATAAAACATGCATAGATACACAGTTATGCACACACAAATAAAAGGCACATTCATATGTGAAATGTATGGAAATAAATCGATGTCTGCACATCATTGAAAAGCAGAGGAAAAGCAAATCCAACATATAATGCCTTGAAAAGTGGAGGTTAGAACAGATGAAATTAGTGAAAATTTTAAAAATGAAAAGCTAAAACTTCAGTCGATCATATTATAAGCCGAACGCGAAAACTTGAAGGTTACCCAATTGAATGGCACGTAAACGAAGACTATCCTTTGATTTAGAGACACACCTTACCGCGAAGTGAAGGTCGACTCGCTCTTCACGAATGAACAAAACCCTAGCTTCCGCGGAGAGAGAGTGAGGCTCGGAGTAAGGAGTGTTTAAAAGGCGGAGAGGATTGATGAGGTCGAGTTTTGCCCTAGCTTTGGACGGTGACGATGAACTGGATCGGATGTATGAAATCTTGGCCATCCATTGTCAGATGGGTTCTCTTTGTTGAATGGGCCTAATATGCCAATGGGCTGCGAGACCTTCCACCAAACCTATGTCTGCTTCAGAGAAGAAATTTAAATTGGGCTTAGAAAGGATTAGGCCCATTATTGGGAGTTCTTTAAGCTTAGCCCATCTTGTATACTAAAAATATGAAGTGTGTGTGACACACACAATCCTCATGAGCCCTCAATTAAGTCGAAAGACATTTGACTTTTCATCAGTCTCGATAAACTGTCTCATCCTGTGATTAAGGCTATGTTTGTTTGGATTTAAAATATTTTTAAAAAAATATGTTTTTTATTTTATAGTGTTTGGTTGTCATAAAATATTTACGAATAAAAAAAATATTAAAACCTAACAAAAATAATTTACACATAAATTTTTCAGTAAGTTATTTTACATTATCGATGGACTTGACCTCAATCTCGACCTACACATTTACCAAACACCGAAAAAACAAAAACAAAGAAAATATTTTACTTGAAAAAGAAAAATCTTCTCTGAGAAAACTATTTTATATCGAAACAAACGGAACCTGAATGTAGAAAATTCATTACTTTTATCGGTAAAATAACTCTTTTATCCTCTTCTTGATTAATTGTTTATTTTACATGGTCTGCACAATTGCAATTTAACTGCAAATCGAGTCAAGTGGTTGCCCCGGAAAGCAAATGAAAATCTAAAGTAAGTTTACTGCAAAAGAGTGGCATACTACTCAATTGGCAGTCACAACTAAATAGCATTTTCTTCTTTAGGTTTTTTTTGGGGGCCCAAGTAGAGTGATGGGACATCACAATTATCCCGTCACAATCATCTCTCTTGGGACCCAGCATCCTTGCTGACCTAACTCTCAACCCTTACGAGATTGAGCACACTAATTGATTTCCGACTGAAGATTGACTCTAATATCATTCCATTTTGCACACTTTTCGTATTCACGATTTTTTAAATGCATCTACACAAGTAGGATACATTCCCTTAGAAGTGCAAGCAACTTCTCCCCGTGTGAAACATCTCTAGCAGCTCTCGTCTTACAAAAATATTTAATTTCTTGTGCATTACACTTGAGGTGGAAACATCTCAAAAAGGAAAAAGATACCAAAACTAAAAGGAAAAAACAAAAAAAAAAAACAAAAACAAAAATCATTGTTCATTTGAGAAGAAAGTAGTACAGTTCAATCTTGCAGGTGCATTGTTTTGAAATGAGCTGCTGGAGAAACTAAATCTAATGATTCATATCAGTGTCAGCTGGATGAATGTCCTTCATGATCAAATGAGCTCCTGGCTGTCTAAATCACTCAGCCATGATAAGATTGCTTGTGCACCTCTTTCCCATGAACAATCCAACATCATGTCATGAGCAATGCCTTCGACGCAGACCGGTGACACGCCATAAAACCTGCCTGTTTCATTGAGTCCTTCAGCATCCTACAAACATCACTTACTTTGTCACTTAAATATTATTGACTGAATAGTAACATCCATAAAAATAGAGAAACAAAATATTTGCAAAAACTTTGTGCAATAAAAATTGCAAAAGCAAGGAGCATCAACAATCTAGAAAATGTGGCCGAGATTGTGTTACACAAGAAACAGCAGAGCTGCATGTGCGGAATGAACATTAGAGTTTGATTTCAATAGAAGATGGAGAATATAATGCAATCAACAATATTCTCCATCAGGTGGTTAATTTTAAAAAGTGCATAGATATATTCGAACAGAGAGTTTACCACTATAAAGTCATTGTTTGCACCCAAGACAAGAACATTAACAGAAGAACTTGGCACTGACGGTACAGGAAGTGATGCGTTGAGCTTCCTTAGATCAAACAGTGGCATCCTTGAACTTTCTATCAATAGCTTTTGATAACTGGAAGAGCAAAAAAAAAAAAAAAAAATATGGCTTAGTCCCATAAAAGAACATACAGTTCAGGGGATACAACAAAATATAAAAAAATTATTATATGTTTGTGTTTCTTGTAGGGCTATTAGTTGGGCTTCAGTGTAATGCTCTAAGCTCAATCTGCCTCTCATAAGAATGAAGGTTTGAGTTTGAGAGCTACCACATTGTACAATAAAAGCCGAATTTTAAACCCGTATCTATTCCAACTATCTCAATAATCCTCATTGGCAGGACCGATATGGAGTAATAGCCATATATTTGACTAAAAAAAGTATGAACTAATATAATTAAATTCGTATAATATTTCACAAAGCATGTTTAATGGTAGGAAGGAATAAACTTACATGCCAAGAACAATCTATAAGTACCCTGTGTGCAACAAGAAATTCAAGATTATAGTGGAGTAACAAGACATGTTAAAAAGAGTGGAACACTGCAGTGTGGTTATAACATTCCCTATATAGTACCTGGTCTATTGCTTCCCCAGCGCAGAAATTATCTACCTTTTTTATTTTCTTTTTTTCAGTAATACAATGCCCAGGTTCATTGTCATAGCAAAGTACTAAGTTCACAAAAAATGCCTTTGTTGACTATTTTACATTCTCAGCCCTACCTATGGACCTTTTCATTCATAATCAAAAGCCTTCTCTTTGCTACTTTACTTTTATGACAGTTCCGCAAGCTTACAGCGGTAGATTGTTCAAAACTGTCGTGCAAATAAGGCAAATATCATTGTACTAAAAATTATAATGTCAGTTGAAATAAAACAAATATAAGGTAGCATAAAGCCTATGTGCATTAGTGAAGACAATAAAGAAATTCCACTATACAGATGAAAACAACACAGATGTCTGTTCAAGTCCAAAATTATAATCTTCTCATACAACAAGATGAGTCTAAGCCGACTTTAAGCCCCCTTTTTAGTCAGAAAGTCTACAATGAAAAGCCAATATCCTATAATATAGGTGGTATGGTCTTGTAATTGAAATAGCCCATGACTGCAGTCAATTGAGGCACACAGTGCAACCTAATTTTATAAGAGATACACTTAATGGCTTAGTATAATCGGTTCCAATTTTTAATGGAGTCACCGCTCAGTTTTAGGATTTTATAAAACCACCTTGCTCCAAGGATACAGGCTAACTTGACATCACCCAATAACTAGAGCTGGGGAAAAAAGGTACTAAACAAGAAGGGGTTGATCAAATTACATACTCCTCTTGCCTCATCAAATAAGGGCCTCTACTACATGCCCAAATTGCAACATTGGAATCTTAAAGAGTTACAGAAATCTTTTTAAATAAGCAAATGATTTTAATAAACCTTAAATATTTATTTTTCCAATTCAATCATAATCTACTCAACAAGAAACCCAGTTTCTCATTTAAGTTAGTTAAAAAAATCACTCTTTCCTCACCTAGCAATTGTCACACCTTATGTCCTCCGAAAACATTATATTAAATTCAAATTCCTTACACAGATCACTGTTTTAATGCGTATATACATTTTTTTATTCATTTCTCATCATCTTTCAATTAAAAAACGGAATTTACTTTTAAATTTCGCAACTTAAAGTCATTACACTGCTTCATAACTACAAGAATTTGAAGTTCCGTCTTTCAGGAAACTCTAGAGAGGTTTCCTCTTTCAGAAAGCTCTTGAGAAGGTTTCCTTCTTCAGCTCTTACAGCATACCTTAAGATGCATACTCTTGTCCAGCTAGCATGTTTTTGCATATAGATTAAACTAAGTTAAGTTCAATGTTACATATCATCTTAAAAGATAAAGAAAGTTCTCATGGACAAACCGCAAGACCAGATGATCATCCATTTGGGCAGAGAAAAATGTTTCCTTGCAAAGAGGCAGAGAAGTTTGAAAAGCTTTAGCTGCCAAGCTGCGTGTTACCTGCTCAGCATTTTATATCAATCACATCATCGTCAAACAAATAAACGTTTCCTTTATTTAATGTAGAACTCGGGCAGAAGAATACTGAATATATCTATGAAAAGGTCACCATTTTGATCAAACAAACATCTCAAGAATACAATTTGGTCTAGCAGAGGACATGAGGAATAATAGTGAGTTTGAAAATATAATAAGAGCGATCAAATGGTCGTTTCCCATCTGATTACACATTGGAAAAATGGAACCAAAAACCTAGAGAGAGAGCACAAAATCTGAAGTCATACTCCACTAAAATCACAGCTGAAGTCTAGATACTGATGTTACGAGTTGAAAAAACAATAAGTTGTTCTCATTAGTGTTCCAAGAATCAAAGATGATAAAGGTACACGTGAATTATTTTTATCAAAAATGTGAAGAAGACGAACCTTGAAAGCAGCAATAGGTTTGGAAAAGAGGTAACGCCACACTAGCCCACTAAACAAAGTAAACAAGGAATATGTTACACATGGTCAATTACATTCAAGTAAATGTGCAGAGTATATTGGATAGGGAGTCACCTATTACCCGAAGGAGGGACAGAGCAAACAAGCACAGCTCCAGTAAGATTTGGGTACAAGCTCTCCGTTTCTAAAACCAATCGCAATTAGCATAGGATCATGACGATATTAAGTAACAAACACCACATAAACCAAATATATTAACAAAAAACACTTCCACGATACATAATAGTTGTCTAAAAGGACCGTAACACGACACCACACACCAGTCTTAGGACCACACAGAAAAATGCATCTTGATACGTGGCGGCATGGGCTCATTGCACATTAAACTCATGTCCAAAAATGTAAAGGCCATACCCGGTGCATGTATTATGTCCTTGAAACTGATTTAAGATTGAGACGTGTGACTCATGAAGAGAAGGGATAGAAATTAGACAAACATAAAATATAATGTTATTTAATTGTTTGAAGTGATTCTACAGCCGTAACTATAAATGTACTTGGAATTATAAATCAATTAGGTATTATCTCGCATTAAATATTTTTAGTCAACTTCAACGGATTTAGAGCTAATCATATAACTTGCAGATTCTTATTTACTTCTTTGTCATATTGTTGAAATACGGGGAAAATAGTTATATCGTTTGTCAAAAATCAGTTAAATATTCCTAAGAATTTCATGGATTTAACACAGTAATCATAACCATTAATTGCCACTCAAAACAAAAGATCTTAATGTGATTTTTCATCAATTATTTACACATGGTATAAAATATATATGAATTTCCTAACTATTCATGTTGTATTTTGTTTATAGCCAGAAATTCTCAGTACTACACTTCACCCTTAAGGCTAATGCCTCATTCATCCACAGGTCCTACTTCACCTTCTTGATCATGTATATCAACCCACTGAAGTAGAAAATATACCTAAAATTGGTCTGTTCACCATATTAGCAATGTAATACTGAACAATAAGGCCCCCAAACGAATGTCCAAGCAATACTGGCGGCAATCTAATTTCTTTCTGTATGAAGTCAGCAACATCACCTGCATGTGTCTACTGCAAAATTAGGTTAAAACGGGAAATAAGAGGCAAAGTTGTAAAATGGAATAAAAGATGGAAAGCATTGATCTGAATATTAACTGCAACAATAAAGGAAATTCTTTCCAGTGAAGAGCTAAATATACCTGGAGGGTACCAGCAACTGAACCAGCAGGTGTATCACTTTCCCCCTAACCATGTTGAAAATGTATGCTAAATTAGCACCAGAGTTGTAAAACATACATAAAAATCATGTCGTTACTTAAATATAGATTCAAGAGAAAGCAATCTTGCATTGATGATGCCCTATATCAAGTACTTTACAAGGAAGACGAAAGCCCTTACAAGTAATGAGTAATAAAAGAGAAGATGATAACCCCAGATAGGTCAAACTCATGGAGCAGAATTATGCGGCCAGACCCAAATAAATGACAATATGAAGAAGTGACTATTCTGATGGTTATGGAGTGTGAAGTGTCTAACTAAAATGCAAACCCAGCTGATTGATGGATGTTCACTTAGAAGCAGTGTCGGGACGCTTGGTTGTCCTAATATGTGATAGTCATTCTCCTATGATTCAGAAAATTTTGTACTGATAACAAAATGAGAAAGGGACAAGCAAATCCATTTCAATATTCTGTATCGATGATAAAAAGTTGTTCTGAAGGCAAAAACTTTCCAACATTATCTGAAGAGGACTAGAACTTTATGGCCTAATGATCCATTTGAAATAGTGAAAACATTCATTTCAGCTTTGGACGTAACCACATCTATAGCATTGTTGTGAGACTGGCTAAAAAATGTTTTGATTGTGATTGACATGACTTGAATCCAAATAAAAGAGAATAAAAGGAACTGGCAAGAAGTGCCCACTACTTGCACTATTTTTACTACCAATCCTCTTGTCAAAAAGAATCTGAATTACGATTGTTGAGGCTATCTCTTTCTGCTTCAAACATCATCGTTCATCATCACTGATTAGCCCATTACGTCCAATTGAGCAAATAGTTATTCTCTAATCTCTAGAGAGGTGAAAGATAAAACCCAATTTTTCTCTATTGAATTTAATAAATAAAAAATTTCTTGAAATTTTTAATATCTATGTACACAAATGTGATAATTCAAATTAATTTCATAGCAACCAATGTGATGAAAAACTTCCATATGTACACAAAACCCGAAAAAAAAAAAAAAAAAAGTTCTGTTTGGTTGCTAAGAAAATATAAAAGAGAAAAGAGATTCAAAATTTCACATTGGTACTTTTATTTATTTACTTCTGTTTTGGTTTCCCAAAATGGAAAACTCATCTCATTTTCTTTTTGTATGTGAAAACACTCCTTAAATGCGCCAGTCGTATTGAATTCACTAGGGCAAGCGTTTTTTTTTTTTTTTGGGTAAGTGCAAAATTAACTTTTTTGGTTCCACATTTTCTCATCAACCAAACGGAGAATCAGAAAACAAAAGAAAAGATCGAAAAAAACAAATAGCCTCTGCATCTAGCTCATTATTAGCAAAATTTGTAGCTTATCGGTCGGTCTAGAGTTCAAGAAACATATACACCTCAATAAGTGATGGAACTAAGATCTGCATAGCAAATATTGATACATATATAGAACGAGTACCTGACCCAACAAGCTAAAAGCATAACAATCATATCCATGTTGTGAGAAGAAGGGCAACCAGTGTTCAGCCCAACACCAAGCTGCGTGAAAGCTTCCATGTATGAACACTAGAGGTGGGTTTTTCATTCTCTCTCTTCTCTCATCCGAGTTTTTGTAGTCAACACTCTTCTGGAAGATAACCTCCATGCTCATACCAGAGGGGAGCTCGTGGAAAAGACGGAACTGCCCTTGCTTCAGCTCGTACGGCACCCGCAATTTGAAGTCCCTGTTGAGGATGGCGCGGGGCATTACAGTCATTTTGGTGGACGGAACGTTTGCAAGAAGAGCTAGAGCAGCCATTGTGCTCTGTGACTCCAATTGAGCAACAATTCAGATGCTAGCTTCAAGTGTAGTATCACTTTGTGTGTTTTTATGAATTTACCCCGAGACTTTAAACGCATATTTTACCTGTCTAAATTTTGCTACTAATTATTTAAAATTTACCACAATAAGGAACAACAAAAAAATCCTTAGGAGTGATTCGGATCCTTTTATACATTTAGGCCCTGTTTGGAAAGTGTAGTGTGATGTAGTGTACTGTTCTAGTCTAGAATAGAACAAGTGTTTTGTAGTGTGATGTTCTGGAATGAGAACAAAGCATGTTTGGTGTTCCAAGTTTGCTCTACCGAATCATGGAACAAAAATATGGTAGAACATGTTTGGTAATGTATCTTGTTCTAAGAAATATGAGAACAAAACATGTTTGGTGTTCCAAAGTGTAACCAAAATGTAATTGATAAATAAAATAATTAAATATGTTGGATTAAAAATGTTTTGAATTAATATTTTCTTCAATACATTTTTTCTAATATAAAGTTACAGAAAATGATTATATTACGCCGGACATATTGTTCCTCCATTTATATTAATTTATTATAATAACCATATAAATAAATTTATAAATCCAAATATGGAACTGAAATAAAGTTTCAAAAGATCATAGTTTCATAAATTTTAATATATTACATACATGAGTATAAATAATATTACAACATTCGCCAACAGTCACAATAAAAGTTCATGTAATAAAATTAAACTTTCAATACAACATCATTTCTCAACAGCGACAATAATAAACAACAACAACATAAGCAAAAACAACAAGAATATAGTTATAGTAAGACAACAACAACATCCATAGATAATGTAGTTTTGCCGCATTTGTTGAGCTTGCATAACAGCAACTACATCCTCCAATTCTTCCTGCATGCGACCGCCCACTTGAGAGCCATGGTGCATGTCATCCAACCATATAAATGCACGATCATGTGACTAAATTAGAAAAAAGAGTTGTACATTATCAGAATGCACCTGTAACACTAAGATGTATTTAAAATATTCTTATTAATGCTTAAAATAAAATTGTATACCTCCCAAGCTGGACATCTATAGAATGATCGTCCATAATTCTTAGACGTTCCAGCCGTATAAAGATTCATGCGACCCCTCCCACATGCACAAGGTGGCCCGTCACCCTGTATCTTATACATGACTACATATGCAAACTATAAGACTGATCCAAAGAAGTTAATAAAAAAGATAAAGTTAATCAAAATAGTTATTACAGTTATCCTGATCGTAAAAAAGAACAACAATAAAGTAGTTGTTACATTTATGCAAATACTAACAAATGAAACAAGTATAAAGTAATTATTACAGTTATCCAAACATGGTAAACATGTAAATCATATTTCAAGGGTGATGACTTGCATTCCATATACTATCGGCAATATAATCGCGTACAATATCCATTGGTCGCGAGCGAGACTGCGACACATTAGGTTGAACATCAACTTCATCATCTCCAAAACTTTCATCCATCATTGCCTCCACAGTTGCATCATTAAATATTGGATCCACATGCGCCTCCTTTCTTATAAAGTTATGAAGTGTGCAACAAGCTAAAACAATAGCAACTTGAGCTTCAAACTTATAAGGGGGCATGTGCTTCAAGATGGGGAATCTCATCTTAAGCATCCCAAAACAACGCTCAATTATATTTCGTAATGACGAATGCCTGTGATTATAAATTTCCTCTCTACCTTGTGGTTGCCGATGAGCTCTACGGTACTCTTGGAAGTGGTACCGTTGGCCCCTGTAGGGAGCCAAAAAACCCGGTTGGTTGGCATACCCGGAGTCAACCAAATAATATTTCCCTGCCATTTTACAAACTATAAGGCACGTTTGGGAACCATGATATTTAAAATAAGTATTGCAAAATTATTAGATAAATGACATATACCTTCTGGAGGCATTGGGAAATGCAAATCCTCATTATTAATTGTCTCGTTCAGTATCTTAGAATCATTAGCAGACCCCTCCCATCCAGCTACGACGTACGTGAACATCATATCAAAATCACAAACAGCCATTACATTTTGTGTGGTATCCCCCTTCCTACCACGAAATGGTATTTGCTGGTCCACAGGCACGTTCGCATGGACATGAGTTCCATCAATTGCCCCAACGCAACCCTTAAAAAAAGGGTGGTATTTTTTTGATTTCCTTATATGGTTAGGAACTTTGGTAAAATCTGGGGCGACAATTATCTGTTTCCCTAAATCACAGATTTTTTGTAAAACCGCATGGAAGTATTTTGAAATTGTATACGTAGAGTGTTGAAATCTTTCTGCGACCACACGATTCCTTTCATTATGAGCTAAAGTAAGCAACAATATGCCAACTTGTTCATAAACACTTACACCTGTTGAGTCTTTCAACCCTAATGACTTAAGCTCCCCACACAACTTCAAAAAAACAGGGGTGGACATCCTGAAATTTTCAAAACATCTATTTTCATGTCCATGCAATATCTCCATTATATATGCTTCCCCGGTTAAAAGTGAATCCCTACAAGGTCGTTTCTCGTAATGTTTATTATAATAGTCCAACATGCATGCCATTATGATGACACACTCATTCTCCTCATCACCATCATCATACAAGTCAATTATTGTCCTAATATCCATCTGTATAGTACAACATTTAACACACATTATAAATTACAATAATCTCAAGCTTTGTTAAACAAAATAAAAATTATTAGGGCAATGCAACAACTAAAATCAGAACAAGTGAAATATTCATATTGTCATTACACTGAAACTAAATAACATATCAACGAATGTACTTAATATTACAATCACCCAAAGTCATAGCAAAAGATAATAACAAATAAAAGCAACGCACAGAAAGTCATAATATGTAGTAATACAGTCATCCAAATTCATAATAAAACCAACACGCCAACTCATACTCCATTGATCCAACCAACCCTCTTCTCATCCGGAAGGTCATTAAGAAAGAAATCCCTCCAAAGTTCATCATTACGTAACATCTGGGTGACCTTAGCATATTGTTTCATATCAACGCCCTCCAACTTATTAAGAATGTAACAACATAATTTAAAATCACCCTTTGTCTTATCTGGAGAATTTACTTCAACCTGCCCAGCTTCCTGCCCTGTTTTCATATTCGATGATGAAGAAGCGACTATGGCCCTTTCAATTCGCTCTGTTTTCTCTCTACTAGCCTCGTTCATTTTCTCCATGACACGATCCATTGTGGAGGCAAAACTCTCTCTCCTTAGTTTCTTCCCACGAGGGTCAGGAGAAGGACTGAACTCATGACCGCCTAACTCAGCAAAATCATCATTAAGGTCAAATGACGATTGTGTGCCTTCATGGTGTGCGGGGGTTTGGTTGAGAATGGGTGGACTGTAGGAAGTATGCACATGTGCACCTGTAGCGTGTGTGCCTCCAAATACGGTTGTGAGCTTATCAAAATGATTGCATGGCTTCTTTCGATACTTACCATATTGGGAATTCACCTACAAATTATTAAATTACTATTAATATTAATTGAAGTATAATTTATTGTAAAATCAACATAATTTATTTAAAAAACTAACCTTGATCAATCTAGTCCATCTTTCATTTTCAACTACAACCATGCCCGTCTCAGCATCATATCCCACGCCTGTTTCTCCTAACAAACTCATAAAGGCTCTGTAGTCTACCCTCAGGTGGTTGAATTTGCTCTTAAGTTGTTTCAGTTCATAGTTCTTGCCTGTACGCCTACTCAAGCCTTTCCGTATATTCTTCCAACCATTTGGAGTAAAAGTTGTGTTATTCCGATTACCGCCATAAACTTCTTCCTCCATACAGATGATGAAAGCTTCAAGATGGGTGGCATCCCATACTAGTTTTCCATCATCGGTATTCTCTGTAAGGTCCTCTATTTCTGAGTCCACCACATTGTCAGCATTGATATCCATCTAATTTTAATAAAAATGTGTTAAAAGGGTCATTAACAACTGTAATCTTAGGCAATAACATCGTCTTAACTACACAATTATCATGACGCCATTAAATGAAAAAACAATTTGAGTTGTGATACTGACATAGTCCGATAATTAGATACATTGTATTATACTCACGTAAGTTGGGAATGATGTCATCGGATATACCATTTTTCTTTCATATTTATCTCAACATTAAAGCAAAGATATATGCCTTTTTGTCTAGGCCGAGACTCGAACCTCAAGTTATACAACTACTCCAAAAGCAAAAAAAAAATAATTGATCTTTCATTGTTAAAGTGTATAAGATAGAATCCAAAAACATTATACAAGGGGTTGGATCTACGAATCATGTTTTTCATAATCCTTATTTCTCAAACAATTGCGAATTCCTCAAAAATAGGGTACAAGTCCTTGGCATATCAATACGGTTCTTGGGCCACTCTCTTGAATTATTGGAGCATGGTTTACTTGAGGTAAGGTATAGTTGTGGTTGGTTAGTGATGACTGCAAATAAGCAAAGTAATAGGGGTTAAAAGTAGTGACTGTTAGTAGTCATGTTATGATGAAGCATTCCTTTCATGTTTGGTTATGAAATTTATACAGGTGGTGGGTGAGGTGTGATGATCCTTGATGCATCTCGATCTACAAGGGTATATCATTGGTCATTGCAACCTATCGTCTGCAGGAACAGAATTTTTAATCCATTTCGACTTTATATTTATGTACAACTACTCAGCTGGACTTTTTGTATGGTACCTTATCTTTTTATGGACGATTTTATTTATGTCATTTGGGATTTGGTTCTACAAATTTATAGAATCGAACAACTGTTTTTGCTTCTCTGAGAACTAAGTTGTAAATGGAAGTTGTTACTTGTCACTTAAAATTATTGTAAGATGAAGGCCAAAACACAACTTGTTCACGGATAATTTTATCAGGAGTGTTTCTGTATGTGTAGATTTTTTCAAACTAGCAATCTACCAATAATTAACACAAAATATGAAAAGTGTGATTCTAATCTACCCTTTCATACATGTATACATGTGCCCTTACATTATTTATTT